TTTTGTGCCAAGATGCACCTATGGTGCAAATTTCATCAAAATCGGAGAGATGTCGTTTCCAAGCCCTATAGTAAATTTTTTGGTGCTTACAGAGAATGCATGTTAATATCTTCCAGCATTCAGATCATGTTTAAGTTTTGGGCATAAAAACTCTGCAGGATGGAAATCTGAATGTAGGATGATATCAAACACTGCATCTATAGTAAATTTTAACATAGAAAAATCATCACCACATAAAATGCACATTCAATATAGATGCACAAACTAAAATATATTCCCAATCCCATCCCGAAGATGGGTGGGTGGAAAAAACCTCTTTCATTGATCATCATCATACTTATCATCATTCCTTCGGTACACATTATCCACTATCAAGCATGGATGTCTAAAGAATGAATACTACGTCACATGTACTTCCGCTTCGATCTTAACCAATGAGGCTCTTCCCTATCCTCAGTGTTTAATATCTTCCAGCATTCAGATCATGTTTAAGTTTTGGGCATAAAAACTCTGCATTTTTGCAATCACCCTTCTCCATTCCTTCAGTTAACCCAAAATAATATAACATTCTTCTCCCAATACTCAAAATAAAATTAAATACAAAACAATTCATTTCCATTTTTATTAGAAAGCAAATGAGAATAACAAAGGTTCATTCTCTATAAGGCCGTTTTCCGGCCTACAATGACTCCAAAATTTCAAAATATATTTTCCCCCTTAAAAACTGTATGAATTAGCGGGCTAAAGATCCAATTTAATGCTAAAACTTGTTTGGTTACTAATCCTCTAGTATTTTTTTATGATATGGGGTCTCAAAGTGATGTACCATCGCTCCGTATTAACATTAGCGCAATGGGAAAACATAAGAGGGTTGGTGTGTTTGACAACTCCTACACATGTCATAACCACCTTTAACCAGCACCAAAATTTGAATGTAAACTTTTTAAAGCTATAAAAAGTCACTAGAAAAAGATGAACTTGGTTAAAGGTGGTTATGACATCTTAATAAAAACTTTACGCACTATTTTTAGCAATAATTAGACGAAAAGGTATCTACTCATTATGGAGGCTATCAGCGTTTGTAGATTATTTTATCTGGTTACTTTTTAGTTAGAGTGACACTTTCTGTGGATACCATAAGAATTAAAATAAGCCATGCAATTTTCACTAGAAAATGTTGAGTTTTATTTTTTTAAAAAAAATATAATCAAAGGCCTGAAAAGACTGAGTGTCATGAAATAAAATCTTGCTTTTCACATGATGATTGAATTGTCAGCGACAAATGTATGTACTTTTTTAATGTCTTATATGGCACGGATTCTTATTGTTTCGTTTCTCTTTCATACCTCTTGATATATTATTTAGAAGTACGTCCGTTTGTTCTCAAAAAGTTTTTTGTGGTTGTGCAAAGATGATGAGTTAATTTATGTTCGTTGTGTTACTAAAGATATTTAGATAAAAACGGTTACTGGCATGAAGAATATCTTTCATAATGGAATTTCTCGACCCAACCTGCCAGAGAGACGCTCATATTTTCTCCGTATGAGTGAGACAGGGTCGAAGTATTGTATGTTATCTGGATGCTGAGGTGAACTTCATCTGCGGATTTGGGGAGCCAACACGCATCTTTGGTAGCAATACAAGCTTTGAGAACTGCGGCTCTGGTTTAGCAAACCAGAAGTCAGGGGAGCCCTTCCTTATTGGAAGTTGCAGAAACCTGCTTGATCGTAGACATACTGAAGCTCTCTACATGAGTAGTGGAAGGAGCTGTTGAAAATCTTGCGGGTTTCTATGGAGTGCCGGTGAGCGGGAGGGACAGTGTCCTGGCTTTAATTGCCTCAGCCGTGCTGAGAACGCAATCCGGACCTGAATAGGGGCAAATACCCTTCTTCATACTTATGGAATCCAGTAAAGATCAACAATACCCTATCTGTTGCATTTGCAACCTACGACAACGTAGTTTATCAGGTTCGAGATATATCAAAGAGACTATCAACAAAGAACTCTATGATTACATCACGTCAAAAATAAATTATCAGACAGACGAATCAGGATACTTACTATGTAATAAATGCCGAATGACGTATTACCTCAAAAAAAGAAATATGAATGAAAGCGAAGAGAATGATACTGACGTGGAGGAAGGGCAGACTTCTTCATCCTTTGCATTTGGTAGTCCAAAGGTTATTAAGTTGGAAGTCCCTCGTAGTATGTCTTCACATGCAAAATGTCAATTTTGTACTCAGAGGGAAGATCTTGTCGTAATAAATGAAGACACAAGGACAAAATTTTTCATAGAAACTGGTACAATCATACCTGAAGGTACCAGGTGTTGTCAGAAACATTTTAGTGAGGGTGGGTTAAAAGAAGAATGCAAAAAGATGCTTTCGAAGGTGACAGACCACACCATGTTCAACAGAACAGATTTAATGACGTTGCTTCACAATGTTCGCATGAATGTGTTGAACAAGCCGAAAGGAATCGAATTTGATAACCCTCTTGGATTATCAGACACTGATTATATTCACTTGACAGGTCTCACTAAACAGCAATTTGACAATTTAGTAACATATCTTCAATCTTTGAGAAACACATCAGTCAGATCAACTAGGACATGTTTAGGACTCCTGTTGACAAAACTGCGAACAGGAGTGTCCCTAAAAGTGATGAGCAGTATGTTCCAGATACCTAATGTACAGTACATATCAAAAGCAATCCACAGTGCAAGAGCTGTTCTAATGAAAGAATTTGTTCCCCAGCATTTGGGCACTCAGCATATTTCTAGGGACGAGTTTATTAGGGAACACACTACTCCTTTTGTAAAGCAACTATTTGCAGATGGCCAAGATGTCGCAGCCCTTGTCATAGATGGCACATACATTTATATAGAAAAGAGTTCAAACTACAGTTTCCAGAGCCGAACATACAGTGCTTACAAAAGTCGACCGCTCCTGAAGCCAATGATGATAGTTGGTACTGATTGCTACACACTAGACGCTATTGGTCCTTACTTAGCAGATGGACGCAATAATGATGCTTCGATCTTAACCAGTATAATGAAAAATGACACTGAACGATTAAAAACTTGGCTTTCAGATGGAGATATATTTGTTCTGGACAGAGGATTTAGAGACTGCAGAGATTTCTTACAACAAATGGGGTTTAGAACTCAGATGCCGTGCTACTTAGAAAAGGGGAAAAAACAGCACTCTACTGAAGAAGCAAACGAGTCCAGAATGGTAACAAAGGTACGTTGGGTTGTCGAGTCAGTGAATGGAAGGATAAAGCGATGGAAAGCTTTGGGCCAAGTGATGCCAAATACACAGATACAATTTGTTGGTGATTATGTACGTATTGTATGTGCATTGTGCAATAAGTACAGACCTCCGATAAGAAATTCTGAGTTTGAGGACACGGAGCTAGCAATTCGAATGTCATTTCTGTCAAAAACAACTAATGAGTTACAAAAACGGGTGGAAAATGAAAAACTTGCAGCTAAAAGAAGTGTATGGGAGTCAGTTGATGGATTTGATATGGAGGATTTTCCTCGTCTTTCAGAGGATGCTCTTAGAAATATTACAGACGGAGTATATCAATTAAAGCAGGCAAAGGCGTATACAATTGAACATATATCACCTGAAGGCAAATATGAATTATTTGTTCACAAACAAGACGATGGTCTATTGAAAGCCAAGTTACAATCAAGACATAGTTCTTCGAAAACTTACATACTGTGGATTTCATATGATAGTGAGAAAAGAAATCCAATAACAGGCTGGTATTGTCAGTGTAAATCAGGAGCTCGCACATTAGGCTGCTGTGCACATATTGCTGCTGTGCTATGGTATTTGTCTTTCCAGCGACATCAAGATGGTAAGTTGGTACCACGACCCTTTTTTGATTATACAAAAGACGCAGCGGATTGTGACTGGTTGTCTGGAGTAGGGTCAGAGTAAATGTATTTATTTAGTCAAATTTGGATCACAACATACCGACATTTTAGTTCCTTTGTGAATTAAGTATGAACTTACCCGGTAATGTTTTTTTTATTATTATTATTTATTAGATACGTGATTTTGATCCGTTTTCAGAACTTTTATTATCCCGTTTAATACATATACTTAAGACATATAGCATTTCCTATTCATTGGATATTAATATGATACCTAACAGGTATATTTAAATGAAAACAAAGCATTTTTAATGAATTTATTTTATTTTATATACATAAGAAGATACATTTTAACTGTTTGTTTTTTTTTTTTTTACACCGATGGCTCATTTGGTTGGTCTAAATATAGTCTGTAATGCAGGTTTTCTTGGCTAAATCACAAATAGATAATTCGCTACCATATTTCTAAATTGGCATATTATAGGAAATAAAGGTAAAGTGTCGATAAAAATGACACACAATAACAATTGATTCTAAAATAAAGTATTTTGGCCAAATAAATGATAATAAAAGATTTACTCATGTCATAAGGTGAGCATTTTCTAAAGATTTAAATTTAAAATATACAAAATGTGAATGGGCAACATGTTGCGTCATGTTATTTTAATTTTAACCTTAATTTGTACGAGTTTTACATTTAAATTTTTAATATAATTTATTTACTTCATATTTATATGACTTATTCTACATTATTTCAAAAACCATGCATAAAAACAAAGTTTAAATAGACATACCCTCAATATTTTTAAGCTTGGCCGCCATTTTTATTTTATAAATCACGTGACTCACACGATCGATGTTGGAAAATAAGGACCAAAATCATATAATAGAAGGATAAAAATAACATAAAAACACATTTTAGAATGATTTCAACGTAGGCCGGAAAACGGCCTTATAGAGAATGAACCTTTCATTTCCACCAAAATTATGACAATAGATCATATATATGATTCTAACAAAAATTCACACATATATATAATTAGGATACATCTGAAAGTATTCAATCTAAACGATCTTCATGAAGAAGTCAACTCATACACTGAAAAATATATTGCCATTTATTTTAATGAATATATTAACAATGGTATTCTGCACCTATATAAATATGACTTCTACAGGAAATCACAAATTCCAAGCTAAATAAATGCTTTCCCTAAATAAGTATAGTCCGCCTTTCCCTTATAATCTGATTCAATAATATCTCCTTGAGAAACAGACTCCGCCAATTTTGATGCAACAATACCTGAATCAATCATAGTATGCATTCTACTATATACTCCGCACTTGATTTGCCAAACCAACCTATATGTCTCATCACTTGATCTGCATTGTCAGCTGAGCCAGATAAAGCCATTGTAATTGCACAACCAGATCTGAAGCTGTGTGGCGTCTCACCCTCGTAAATGCCTAACGTAGAGAGATAGTATAACAGCCTGTCATAAACCACAGAATAACTAATGTTTTTATCCAAAACCATTCCGTTTTCTGACACTATCCTGAACAAATATCCCTTGGACAAATCAACCTTCAATTTTTTGGCAAATAAGAAATAATCCAACAGACCTTTGACTGGGCAAAGCACTTGGTCTTCACATCTTTTAATTACAAAATAATTGTTCTTACCCTTCTCACCCCTTAAAGTTTTACCGAAAGTATGCTGGAATACCAAACCTGAACCATCCTCTAAAATCTTCACTTCCTGAGAAACCACTAAAGATAAATCGCTTGCCCTATCACCTGCAAAAAATTGAACCTTAATCCATGCCTGATCCCTAGCCAAAACGAACCTCTCTCTAAGTGACAAATCGGATCTGCCTAATTCCCTACCTATAAACAAAGCAATTGCTCTGACTTTAGATAAGAAAATTGGTTTAGCCTGCTTAGGCAATACATGAACCTTAGCTTGCTCTTCCCTTATCAGTTTAAGGTACTCTTTCACCAAAGGGGATGCTGCCGGGTTCCCAGTTCTAGATACGACATCCCATACTCTACCACAACCATAATCATCAAATATATTAATCAACTGTTGAATTAAACCTTCCACTGTACCTGAAGCAAGCCGTTTCGGACATCCGCAATCAGAAATACCTTTGAAACCTAACTTCTCACAGTCAATAGCATGGACTATAGTCTTCCCCTTCAAATCTTTCCAAACTCAGAATCGACGAATATCATTAGGGGTGCATGACACTAAAGTTGATGACTCTGGGGATGCTCTTAAAAAAGTCATGAATGAATCCAAGACTGTTTTCTTTTTGTACCTTACTGACGAAACTACTTTCTCATCCAGATCTGAAAGCCTCCTATCTATTACTTCCCAGTCAATCTCAATCCCTCCTTGTTTTCCCTGCAATATACAAGTGTGAAAATATTTCACACAAATAAAACTCTGAAAGCAAACAAAGGCCATCTCAAACCAACACTATCCAACACAAAACCCTTCTTAGTAGGAATACTGACAACTCCTTTTTCACCCTTTACACCAAGACAAAATGATCCTACTCAATTAGCTAGCAACTTTGGCCACCACATGGGTAAAGGCTCCATCATAGGAACTATAATAGTACAGGTCACTTTTTGTTGCTCAAGTAAAGAAATCACTGGAAAAATGATCCCAAAAGGAGGAAAAATATAAGGGTTAACCTCCTTTCTTATGTCCTGACAGAAAATATTAATTCCCGCCGAAAGAGGGGTTGCCCAGGGTGTAAAATGCTTTAGCGGTACGCCCTCCTTTGACCTCATTACATTCGAATCCAACGACATCAAATCTATAGAATGTGGACCATATGTAGTATCAACCAGAACCCATGACCTCTCACTTAACATAGTGTCAGCAGCACTTAAAATCCTAGAGGGTTTATCTGCCTCATTCAACTCAGATGACACAAAAGTTAACCTTAAATCGATATTTTTTGTACAAACAAACTGAAAAATATCTTTTATAACATCATTAAGTTGTTTACATTTGCCACCTTGACTATTCCACAACCAATAACAGCCAAGCTATCCGTAAACACATCCACCCTTGAATCTTGAATCATACCCCCAAGTGACACCACAGATTTCAAAACTGCATATGCCTTCTTAACATGTATTGGCCTGTCATCATTTTCTAACCAATAATCCCCTAAGATTATATCTTCCTTCCCTAGCTCTACAAAGGCACCATACCTGAAACCTGAAGAATCTGTGTAAATTGAAACTCTTTTAGGAAATTCTGGTCGCCATCTAGAACAACCCTGCCATCTATCTAAAAACTTTCAGTGCTCAAGTTCCTCCTTCAAAGACCCCGAAAGTTTAATAGACCTACTATTTTTTAAACATAGAGATACTCCAGCATTTACTTCTCGACAAAATAATTTGCAACCTGGAATCACTAAACTCATTGAGATACACATTCCTGCAAACCTTTGTAATGTCCTAACATCAACTTCCTCTTTACTTAGAATGAATTCTCTAAGCTCTATGAAACTTGCTTTTTTATCCTCTGGTAATATGTATGCCTCCTGAACAGAATCAACTAAAAATCCCAAAAATCTCTTACGATTTGAAGGTTTCAAGGAACATTTACTTAAAGCCAGAGTGTATCCTAACCTTGTCAGTAATTCAAGTAAACTATACACAAGCCTCTTAGCTTCGTCCTTAATTGTAACCTCATCTACAGAATCAGCTCCCCTAGTAGCAACAAACCTGTCATCAATATATAAAGAATTGCAAACAGAAAGTTTCCTGAGATAAGAAGTAACACACATACCTATCGACTGATATATAAATGCTGAAGCCTTCCAGCCAAAGGGTAATGTTGTGTACACCATATAAAATCCACCAAACTGAATACCAAAAAATCCCTGAGATTGCTTATCAATTTTAACATGGCTATAACCAGATTTCTCATCACATGTAACTAACAAAGCATTCCTATCTACCAATCGATGAATATCTCTTAGTGTTTCTTACCGAAAAGGCAGATCTTTAATCCACAAATTAATAAATCGCTCATCTTGACACAGACGAGGTTTATTCGGCTCTACAGTAAGGGGCATAACCACCCTTGGGGGCTGACACTCTCCGAGCCTACCTAAAAGTTTTACTGCTCCACACTGAATCTTGCCTGTAAGTTCTCTGGCAATAAATTCAGAATATTGTTGACAAATACTAGAATTAACAAAATACTGTTTGGGAGGCATGTCTGAATTATAATACTTTCCCTTAAAATTTCCTTTGTATGCTTGAAAAAACTCAAAAATACTAACACCATTTTTTATCCACCTAAGAATATTATCATTACTTGATACATTTTTATCAATAATTGACTCCCATTCTGATACTGAAGAATGAATTTGACCAGAAACAAAATTACTTGGATCCCTTAATGGCAAAGAGCTAACATCACATTGTAAGTCACCACTGATTACTTCCTCTGCCTGAGGTAAATGGGTTGCAGGCAAAGGGATTCCTCCTTCAAGTGTAATCCATACTGGTTGTTCCCTTATCTTCACATTCAGAGGATTGAAACCACAATTCAACTCCCAGGTTGGAAGTTTCACAGAAGACATATTATCTTGAACAAACTCCAGTTTCTGTAAAATTATAATCACCGATTATAATCCTATATATTTCACATATTTAAACAACCAGCACTAATCACACCCAAAGGAAGAATCCCTTTACCTGCAATCCACGTGATAAATCACTAGAGTGTCAGTGTCCCTTGGATTGCAGATAAATGAATTCATTCCTATCATTTTTCCTACCTCAAAACAAAACAAATTTACTAAGGAGCAATCAGTCTTATTTCAGATTTTTTTTTTTTTATCATGTTGATACATCAAAACTTTGAAGTCCTACCTATGGCAAATAATCTTGACATTAGTGAATCAATTATTTATTTCCTTTAGCAAGCTTCATCTTCTCACAGTCTTTTACTAGATGTGTATTACTTTCACAAAAAGACAGGGTCCCTTTGGGCGAAAAGACGATCGATACCCCTGTCTTCCCCCTCGATAAGTCTGAGCATTGTAACCATTCGATCCACCCATATAATACATATTGGGATACAAACCAGGCATCATGGGATACATCATAGATGGCTGATAAGCATAGAGATTATTCAAAGGAGATTCTGGTCTTTTTTGCACCTCAATACTCTCATTCTTACTTTCATTTTTAATTTCGGGTTTCTCCTTCAAACACTTAGATATTGCCTTAGAAATAGCATCTGCTACCTTTCCACCTAACACTGACAGACACAGATTTGAAATATGCAATTAAGACTGATATCTATTAGCTTGTCTATACAACTCCTCAAACATGTCAGCATCCTCATGGTTTATTTTCCTAGCCGTCTTTGCCAATTCGTCTAGTGTCAACAAAATTAGGGCATTACTTGGATCTTCTTGCAGACATAGAGTCCTCACATTCTCGTTGAGCTCCTTGACCATTTCAACTTTTGCTGTTTTTTCTAATGATAAGACCCTATCCTCCAAGCTTGTATCATCTTGCTTTCTTTTCTTTGCAACTGAAGGCCCTGCTGAATCTGGAGAAGCCCCCTCACTTAATGCAGAAGTACTTGTACAAGGAACCTATCAAACAATATAAAATTCTACTACAATCAATTACCTATTGAACCTTACAATTTTTTTTTAATAATACATGTATAAGTCATTAAATCAACTGTACCATTGAATCATCCAAGATTTGCCCCTTGGGCTGCCCCACTTCATTTGCGAAGATAATTAAACAGTGTAGCATCCATCTGGCCTCCTCTACAGTTACATCTCTTCCTGAGTTAAAATGAAATATTTCCAAAAATATTTAATGTCTCAATTAAAAGCACAGATCCTATTAGAATAAGTTCTGCATGTGCATTCTTTTTTTTCTTTTTTTTTTTAAATATGATAAATTTACTATAGTTGTAATCTGCAAGCCAGTAATAAATATCACAAGATCCTTGAGAGATAAAGAAATGCCTAGTAAATTCCCAAATTAGAAATTAACATCAGACAATCTACATGATCTACCAATGGATGTGTTCCAATCTCCAAAAATGAAAAGTTGATTATAAATACTATAAGGTTAATAATAATAACTGAAATTGCAAACCTGCTAGTTCCAACAGCTCATTCATATTTTCCCCAGTGATATTGTTAACCAACATTTCGATCTCCTCGAACTCCAAATTCTCTGTCTTCTTCTCCTTAGATACTCTTGAAAACTCTTTCAATCCCTCTGGTTTCCCACCCTTTATTTTTTTTTAGAACAGGGAGGAGCTTTATCCCTTTTAAAGAGTGTCTCTTCTTTAAAACGGTAGGCTGAACCATCTAAATGAAAACAAACATGTAAGGGTAAGCAAGTGTCAAGGCAGATAGACAAGCGAGATAACTCTATCAAAATTCACTACATTTTTTTTTCTATCCCGTAATATTGTTTCAAGTGTAAAAGTCGAAATAATGTATAACTTCGAACTTCAAAAAGATTGAAAATAAAATTCAAAACATAACTAGGCCTAATAATCCCAACGACCTCTAAAACTGTCATCGCATAAGCCTACTGAGAATCTAGGCCGGCAAAGCATTAAATGCACGTGCGGCTTACCGCCTGAAAAAAATTCAAGAGCGTTATAAATACCAATAGGCCTACCATACAAATTATGATAGCCACAATTATGCACAATCATTTCTTTTTTCATCAAGAACTGTAATGTCAATCACCAAGATTCATTTTGTCATACTTTGCCACCAAGGCCAATGAATAATCGGCTCACCTAGGCCTCAACATTACAACACCACCAAGGTTTGTAAATTTTGCCACCTAGGCCCAAAAGAACCACCAAGGTTCTGCTACCAAGGCAATAAAATATAAATTAAAAATTATTTAACTTTCCTAAATGGACAAACAATTGGAGAACGGCAAAATCTCCCGGCAGGGATAACACGTCTCACCAAGAGCATGGATGTCTACAGAATGAATACTACGTCACATGTACTTCCGCTTCGATCTTAAGGTATCACACCGGTAATTGTTTTCACTATGTAATTCTATATAGAATAAAAAATCATTAAAAATCAGGTATTCGAATTCATGAAAAAATATTTAGCAGGAAGTGTTAAACGTTACCAGTCACATCAGCTGACACCAAAAAATAGGGTACCTACACGTCATTTTCTGATTTTTTCCATCCGCAAACAGGAATACCCTCAAAACCACGTGTATTCAATGTGTTTATAAACATCCTGTGTGCACCCCAGGAAGTGGCCTCCTATGCCCCGAAAGAAATAGTTCCTGTCAAAAACCTTTAATATTTTACAAAGTACATAAAATATCCTAAGCACAGATACCAAAAATGTAAAAATAGAATAAGGGAAAATATAAAATTTCTCACAATAAAAAAAATATTTCTTTATTATGTATGGAACTACAATTGACTAAGTTCATTTTGATTGGTCAATCACCGGTGTGATACCTTGAACCAATGAGGCTCTCTTAAAATCCTTTGTCACTGTTAAAACTTTTGTGAGGATTAAAGCAAGACTGAGGTTTTGTAAAACATTTACTAGAACCCGCAATCTGTTTCTGTTTGTAAGGAGTTTTTACTTTTACTTTGATTTACCATAGTCCATGTGGTTGGTGCAGTTTAAAATTACAAAAATACTTTAATCAAGAAATATTTTCTTTTTTTACATTTAATAAATTAAATTATATTCCATTTGGAAGATCATTTACGCAACAGTTTCCAAGTTACCTTAAATACCGTAAAATGATTATGAGTGTACTTAGCAAGTCTTGAATAGAAAATTGTACCAAAGGATTTTCTAGCTTCATTATTTGCATTTATTATTTTTCAAATTGAGATTTTTTTTGTTATGAGCCATGAAGTATGATTTCAATATCATCTGACTTGCTGCTTTGAAAGATTAAAAAACTAAATTTGAGACCTTGTTGATGAGACTTGAGTGTAAACAGCTCAAATTACGTTAAATATTAAAGGTAAAATTAGATTTGAAGATTTACGATTTATTTTTACTAAATGTTCATAATAAGATAATTATAATTCAAAAGAAATCTAGGCATTTGAGCATGTTAATTAAAAGTGTGGGAAAATATAGTATGAAAATACACTAAATCCTACTTAAGAGGATACGCGCATATTACGTCAAAGACTGCCGCTCGATTATCGAGATTGAAATTTCAGACCCTAAAGACTGCACTTAATTACTATCCAATTGTAATTTTTTTCTTTTAACTAATCAAAAGGAAAGGATTCGTGATCAAAGTTAGCATATTTGATTTTTATGCTTGAAGTCCGTTATATGTGAGTTATATTATCTACTTGTAGAATATAAAGAAGCATTTAACATGTACGACAAGGACCACGATGGAATCCTGTCAGTTCAGAAACTAGGTGCCGTACTCCGTGCTCTAGGCCATAACCCTACTGAAATAGAAATTCAAGAAATGATTGACGAGATCGACTCAGAAGGTATTATTGATAAACTTTCCATGATGTTACAAATACGTAAATGTATATATCTAGTTCCTTATGAACGAAGTTCCTTATTACTATATAATGAAATTCCTTAGTATCCACTGCTGTAAGTTACATAGTTGCTATTTAATTGTTTGTGACCTTCTATTTCACCACCTTGATGTTTCCTTATAAAAGAGACGCGAGTTTGCTTCAGGAAACTTCTGCACTAACTAAAATTCAGGTCCGCAGGAAGGGATTTTAATAGGGGGGGGGGGGGCAACTAAATATTTTCATTGAGGGGTGATATTAAATTATTTTCGACAAAGCAAAAAAGTGAACTAGGGGGGATAAACATAAAGAGCTATGTTTTCTATAGTATATTATATATTCGGGATGGGGGCACGGTCCTACCCGTTCCTACAGCCATGAAATTTAATTGGAACAGTATAGAGTAAAACTGGATCGCTAAAGATTTTAAAAAATATATTTTTGACGATTCTTAAATTATTTAACGGTGAACTGTTATAGTATAAAATCCAACATATTTGTAAAGGTGGATATTAACTGCATCTGTATAATTCGTATATTGCTAACACAATAGAAATTTTCCGAGAAAATGAAAAAAAAAAAGTACGAGGGCTCACCCAAAAGTATTGTCAGAAATGTTATAACAAACCTAATACTAGTTATTGGAAGTACCAACAAAATCTTACGTTCATATATATACATGTGTGTGTGTCTCGCCTCAGTGAGACTATTGCATACCGTTTTCTCTAATTCTGGCACTGCGGCGTCCAAGAATGTTACTAGTTTGCAACCTGTTCCGTCGGTGAATTATACGCATCTCTTTGTTCGGAAATCCTCCTGTAGACGTCCGCTTCTTGGACGGTCTTTAACGCTTCCTGCTGACATGAACCTTCGTTCTAGTCGCGATACAGAGGATTGGGACAGCAATTTCATTCTGTTGGAGTCATTGCACTAGTTAGGCAATAACCAGATTTCTCAGAAGTTTAGAAAAGTGTGGGATCTTTAGGGTCAAACTTTGTTTCAAATTCTCATCGGACATTCACTGGAGATTGCAAATCCAAATTTCAAACTACACGACTTCCAACCCGAAGTTTATAAGCATGTCGACTATGCCAGAGTCATGGTGGAGTGGCTTTCTATTGCATATCCAATTCTAGACATTATTTAGAACCCAATTACATTTGAAACTATTTTAACCATGACTAGACGCAATTAGAGTAGTCCAATAAAAAAACATGCGTTTCTCTTTCCTTTCAGTATACATATATAACTGATAGTAACTTTGATGCTCTAAGAATATCTGTCGGAAGATTGGTTATGTAAATAATCTTGCCTTGATCTAGCTGCCTTTTTAATTCCCTTAGGCACAGGTTTCATCGACTTTGAAAGTTTCTTGGATGTTGTTATGAGTCGTGATTTGGACGAAGAAGACCACGAGGTGGCGCTTCGAGAAGCTTTTAAAATGTTTGACAGGGACGGGAATGGCTACATTGATGCAGACGAACTACGCCTGTGCATGATGAACCTAGGGGAGAAACTGACACTTGAGGAAGTGGAGGAGATGATTAAAGAGGTGGATGTAGATTTTGACGGGAGGATGAATTATGAAGGTAAATGATTGAGTAAAAACCTTTATAAATCATATACACTGTATTTTGTTAAAATCGACTGCGTTGCATATGCAGGAATACATTATATCATTTACAATTGAAATAATTTCTTTTTACTTATAAATGAGCGTAAGGATCGAGAACTTTGTATACTTGCGTCTATGGCTGTCGAAGTTTTTTTTTTGTTTGAATAACCTGCCAATTTTACCAACCTACCTCCGGCAAAACTATGCAAAATAAAGAAAAATAATAATTGTCCCCCAAAAAAGGAAACTTTTGAGTTGACTTGCAAATAAGGTGATTTTTGATTCAAAGGTCATCAAATGTGTTGTCAGTTTTGAATAGTTTTGGACTATTTTTAGAAACAACATATTTAAGTTATTGTCCATTAGATTTTTCGGGCATTTAAAGAAACGGGGGGGGGGGGGGGCTCAGCACAGCTATATGCCCACGCTGGGTTTTTTTGTTCTACAAACATATCGGAAATTTCAAACTTTGTACTACACTGTCAAAACGACGATAGATCTCTGTCCATCTCGATTCTGTTGCACTGGTAACGATAACAACCCAAATACCTGGTAACACTGCAGATGTGTGCACAACACGTACCTCAAAGTTCGAGCACCACTCTCTCACTGATAGTACCAAGATGTCATAGCTGATATTGTAACCCTAATCCAAAGGTTAATATGTTGACGGTGCGACCGTTGGGGCGAGCACAGTTGTTCACTTAATTTTGAGATCCGCCTCTTCAAACCACACGAGACACTTGGACGTCACATGACGTCGTATGTTAGTTGCATTTGCATAAAGTGCAAAATTTTAACAAAGAACGTTTAATCTTCTATCTGTATGCAATATCCATTAAATTAATATGAGTTTAATTTTTGTGAATTTTTAGTTGTTGCCGCGAGAACGAAGTTAGCAGCGAGAACAAAAAGAGTTGCATTGTGGGTCTCGAGGTAACTGCGGGAAAAAATTCGCTTGGATCAGTTTGAAGTCCGAATTTTCTCTTCGCCCAGGCGTTGCTTTAAGAGCTCACAGTGACGAGCGGCGCAAACGCTGCGCTCGCTATAAAGAGTGCTGTTAGTATTCGGCAGTGAAACAAGTCAGTTTCTACCTGTGAGCTATCAATTGGCCAGTTCTCTATTACAAGAATTTGCTTGCCGGATTTGATGTTCCAAATGTCAGCTGTGTAACATCTTCCTCGGAGAGGACAGGGAAGTCGATCGAGCATCACCTTTTGTACAATGAAATGTATGGAGATAACGAACAGTATTCAAAAGTCCATTAAACAATACAAATTTTGGAGGAGAACAACACGGACCTCTAAAACTTCAGAGGTGGGATCAGGTGCTATTGAGGAGTGAGCATCCCCTGCCAACTGGTCACACCCGCCGTGTGCTCCTTGTCATGATCGGGTAATAACGAAAAAATCCGTCGACAATTCAGTATGTAAATAATGGCCTAACAATTAGTATGAAAAACGTCAGTCAGCATTTGACTTAATGATAAATTGTATTTGCTGACAAGGTCAGTGTATGAAAGATCTTTCAAGACATTTTCATTCTACTTGGCCAGGGGGCATCATTGAAACCATTGCCAAAATAGTTCATATCATTCGTTTTCAAAAGTGATCTGGTCGCCTTCATGGCGCAGTGGTTTGAGCGTCTGATCTAGAGTCGCGGAATAAGGAGCTGATCCTTACGTCGCAGGTTCGAATCCACTGCGGGACGTGGAAACCGATCCTTCGGATGGCACCGTATAAACCGAGGACCCGTGTCGTAGTAGGTGTTGGCACGAAAAAGATCCCTCACTGCTCAAATGCACTGAGTGAAAAGTATAGGTATAAATTAGCAGCCCTACACCGGCAATTGGTGGCGCCCTTTTACGAGTTAAAAAATTCTTGAGAGGGACCTTAAACAACAAACAAAGTGATCTGTACTTATTTACAGTTACCTTTGTCTAATCCATCACTTGTACCAAAGAAATTGGCCTGATCAGACAATATTCCGGATTAGACAATGTTTTTAACAATTGAATTTATTGAAAGGAACCTAAAGTTTACGTCGTATTAGGCAAGACTATCTAGAACATCTGAATAAGACAAGCTTTATTGTTTTAAACAGCAGACGATTCTTATATAGTCACTGATTGAAGGGATGTGTGAGTTGCTGACAACATTATCCAAAAATCACCATTTTTTTTAAGTTTACTGTTGGCAGCCTCAACTACCCATCGCATGCTAGTGACCATTCTTCATGTATCTGCTTCGATAGTGCTATTCATTTTTGCAAGATTTTGGTAGAAAGACTGGCTTTTTTAATCCATTCATTTAGAGAATCTATTGAGGCACGGAATCCCCTTATCTATCATATCATTTTCGGTGAATTGACTTGTTATCAGAGATAAGTCTTTATGCACAGAATAGGAGAGTCGATGGAATTTGTACGGCACTATTTAATAGTATTTTTGGTATATATATATATATATATATATATATATATATATATATATATATATATATATATATATATATATATATATATATATATAAGTACCATCTAGTACTAAATGACAGTCTTTGAAAAAGAATACGAAAAAAGGTGTTTTGGATTTTCTTAAATACTTTATCTGGTTATATGGTCAATACCAAGATAATGGGATACGAAATTTTTAACGATCGCTATTCTAGCACTTTCAGTGATTTTCGCCACTTGTCGCCTACATCGAAATCCACATAAAGTGCCCACCAATCCATGTAATAAGCATTTAGCTGGCAAAATGATTACTTTGCCATGTATAAGGATTTCAGAATCTTCAAATTTTTTTATCACAAAAAATCAAACTGTTTTCATTGAAAAAAAATACAATAAAAATGATCGAAAGATAGAAATAAGTAAATATTAGATAAAACTGAATTGTGGTCTCCCGCTTTCGGTATCTTAGTGGATGGGATGTCATTATTTATGGCATATCATAACTGTCTTGTCTGTGCATACATAATTTATTGAATTAATAACAGTTATGGCAAAAGTTATAGCTTCTGAAAACTACATTAAACTTCAACATTAAGGTCATGAGGTCAAATATCATAATACAATCCGAAAGGTCTTGTCACAGTTAATGCACATGTGAAAAAAATAACAAAAACCAGATTATGTAATCGGAAAGGTCTTGAAACAAGTAATGCACATGTCAAATGTAAATGCCGTATCTTTTCTCATTCAAAAGTTTTCAGCAATGTTAATATTTTTGAAAATTAGGTCAAACTTGAAGGTCAAGGTGATGGATTAAAAATCATTGTACATTTGGAAATGCTTGTCACAGGTAATACACGTGTCAAATATAAATGCCCTTCAAAAGTTTGCAAACTGATAAAATGTTTGAAAATTAGGTCAATCTTGATGGTCAGGGTCAGGGGGTCAAATATAGTACATTCGAAAACATTTAGAACAGGTAATGCGCTTGTCAAATATGAACACCCTATCATGTGCCGTTCAAAAGTAATCACCAAAGCTAACATTTTTGAAAATTAGGTCAAACGTAAAGGTCAAGGGTAAAAAAATCATAGCATGCTCGGAGAAATCTTGTTACAGGTAATGCACAGGTCAAATATGAAAGCCCTATCTTTTTTCTCAATCAAAAGTTATAAGCTAAGATAATTTTTTTGAAAAGTAGGTAAAACTTCAAGGTCAAGGTAAAAGGGTCAAAAACCATAGCATATTTGGAAAGGTCTTGTCACAGGTGATGTACATATATAATATGAAAATCCTATCTTTTCTCATTAAAATTTTATGACCAATTTAATGTTAAAATATTTGAAAAGTAGATCAAACTCCAAGGTCAAGGGGTCAGAAATCATAGCATGCTCGGAAAAATCATGTCAAAGGTAATGCACTTGTCAAATATGAAAGTCCTATCTTTTCTCAATCAAAGGTTATGAACAAAGATAAAATTTTTGCAAAGAAGGCCAAATGTCAAGGTCACGTAGTCAAAAATCATAGTCAGTTTAGAAAGGACTTGTCAGAGGTTATATACTTGTATAAAATGAAAATCCTATCTCTTCTCATTCAAAATTAAAGTTTAAAATTTAATGTTAAAATTCTTCAAAAGTAGATCAAACTTCAAGGTCATGGGCCATTTCCATGGCCATTTGGAAAGGTCTTGTCACAGGTAATATACATGTGAAATATGAAAGCCCTATCTCTTCTCATTCTAAGGTTATGATCAAGTTTTTGTTACTGACAGACGAATGAGATGTAATGCCCCCTCGCTTTCGCGAAAGTGGGGGACAAAAAATTACGTTTGTTGATGGCAAGTCACAAATACTTGGTCAATTTAAGTCTTTTTTCCTCTTTGTTTCAACTTTAAAGACATAATTTTTAAAGTTCTAGCAGAAAGAAACTGTTTTATACTTTTTAATTTAATATCTCGGAAATTAATCCTTGATCTTAATAAAAAAAATCTTGGTAAGCGAAAATCATTTACAGAGAATAATCATGAAAAAAAGGATACAAGCTATCAGAGTTATTGCTCTTGACAAGCGCTGTCTAGTGAGTGGAATAGGAAAGACATAGGTTTTCCCTACTGCCAATACATGATATAATATTTTCAGCTATTACTCCATACTCTGCTGTTAATTATAATGGGGTCATCTTTTAAAAAAAATGTTTTTTTGCCGTCTTCCGACTCAGGGTAAAAAACTGGGTCCGTAGCTGGATGGGAAAATATTTTTTCCTTAAAAAGTTCAACAAACATATTGACAGGATGAGAAAATTCAGGAATAAAAAGAACAAGCTAATTCAGAGAATCTGTGTCTTCCGCTTAGGGAAAAAAGAAGAGCATGCGCAGTTCTAAGGAAGGGCGAGGGGTCGGACCCCCTCCATGGATTTGTCGAATTATTAAATGTATACATGTATATTGAAGCAAATAAAAATCCCTATATGGATATAAAGATTTGATTGCTTATTCTTTAAAATGTGTATTGAAGATTCTTTTTATATAGAATATTTATCACACTGTAATAATGATTTTATATGTTGAATACTATCATTTAGTAAATCAAAATTTTAAAAAATCCCAAAAAAGGGGGGGGGGGTCGTCCGGGATTAAAAATACTAAGCAAGAATCATATCCCTAGACCACAGAAGCACTTAAAAATACGTGAAATTCAATGCCAACATTAGGTCACATATAATGTTTATATTCACGTTCGATATTGTCAAAATTTTACACAATACATGGTGTCTAATTTAGCCTTTACTAAACAGTTCTAATAGGTGTAATTAGAATATAAAGTTCCGCCGACAACCTGTATTATATGCAATAACTTTCCACATGCCTCTGTGCTAAAAATAGTGCTAAGCGACTTTTAATACAATAAAAAAAAAACGGGGTTGGACATTTTGAGAGGGGGCGAGAGAGGCCATAGGGAGTTACGGTGTAACATTTCATTGCAAAAGCTCAAAAGCTTATTGAGATATCTCCCGGAAACGAAAGTGTTACACACAGGCAGAGTGTATGAATTTACGACCTTGAACTTCGACCTTTTGACCTCAAAATCAATAGGGGGTCTTCCTTAGGCCACAGGGAGTTGTTATGTAAAATTTCATTGCAACAGCTCAAAGGATTCTCGAGATATCGCGCGGAAACGAAAGTGTTACAGACACAGAAAAAATAGATGGACGGATGGACAGACCCAAATTAATATAACCCACTTTCAGTGAAAGCGGGGGACCAAAAAAAATATCGTTTCCTGGAGGGAAAAAAGTTTAGAGTAGGGCCATTTTTAGCCAGTCAGTCGAGAGAGGGCAAACAAACAATTTTTTAAAGATGGCCTGGAATAATGGAAAATGGTCATCTGAGTTCATGCTGTACAATGCAACGCCTACAAGACTTTTCCGAAGCTAAGTCTCATTCAATTTTTGCGTGTGTAAAATCTGCATTCTCCAATTATGAATTTGGTTGTTTATCTTATATAAATCTTGATTTTACCAGACTCTTCTGTTTTAAATTATTATATAAACTGGAAACACAGGGATAAACAGAGAAAATAAAGTTAACAGAGAGCAAAGGACAAATTGGTTCAGTATCATTAAGATAAAGACAGGCAGATTGAAATAAAACTGAATGACTTTGCACTTAGGGACTTAACTTTTTAAAATTATTTAATTGACATCAAAAATAATAAATGAAATAGAAAATTGTAAATATTGCATATTTTAAGTGCTTTTCATTCCTCAAATTTTGCAAATTATTCATGTTTTGTACGAAGTGAAATACTTGCAAAATACCAACTTTTCAGAATCATATTTCTTTTAGAAGGGGTTAAGAAACTGTATTATTGTTTAATGTCCCAATCAAGAATTTTTCACTCGTATAGAGACGTTTCGAAGGGCCCGTGACTTTCACTCTTAATGCCGTGTGCTTGGCCAAGGAACAGTCACTAATTATGTTTACGTCTTAGGCTTGACACGGAGCGGCGAATGAGAACCGCACTCGGGCCTCCCGATCACGAATTGAGCGCCCATAAAAAACCATCTTAATTATTTAACATTGGGAATTGGGCTTCTTTCAATACTCTGATACCTTATTCATTCAACCTTCTTAATTTCAGAATTCGTGAAGCTGATGTGCACAAAGTATCCTCTAACGTAGTCTGAAGACTCCAGAAACGATCTGACATGTTTCTTCTGTTCGATTTTGTTGTTCATCTCCCTACTGGAAAGACGGACGACATAACTAATAATGAGGTTCTCTTCATCGAAGTCATTTTCTTTGACAATTGACAAAGGATCTCATGAAATGAGAAACAGTTGTACATTTCCTATCCCTGTAATTATCGTCATGCATTGGTCCCTCTACATATAATTACTATTCCATGTCAATTGTTTCCTATTTCTCTATTAAAAGAAAGTGGGAAAAGGGGGTAGAGTCGAATCTCAAGAATGTTGTTTTGTAGAAAGCTTTTTCTTCTTTCAAAACCATACAATTATTGTACACATTACAACAACGAACTTATTTACAATAGTTTGAGAAATATTAAAACAAATTGATAATAATGAGAGAGTGAAGATGATCTCAATTTTATGCAAACGGCATAGTGTATCCAAACATGTGAAGAAGCAAAATTAATTAATACATATAATAAAATCTCAGCATACTTGTTATTCTTTCTATTTAACTGCAGTAGGCTAAAGCCATTTTCTCACCAGAGGGCGCGCAACGCAAGCTTCATTTCTCCTCGTCTCAAAGGTAGTCCCACAGGCAGTTGGAGTAGAAAATAGTTCTAAACAAAATGTTTTGATGTTTTGTTTATATTTAAAATATAAAATAAAGTATGATTCTAATATAGGAAACGTATCTTTACCGTAGAAATGAAATTTAAAGTTAAAACTTGGCCATTTAACCTCTATACAGATTCTTGCAAGTAACTGCAATGTACCGCGCCCTTTGGTAGGGATTGGGCTAGAGGGGAAATACTACCCAACGCATTTAATGCCACATTTGATTTATCTTTTTAATTAATTTCAAAGCATCGCATACTTCATGTTGCAAATCTAAATTTTGTTAGTAATGAGAATATTAGAATTTATTTACATGTGCAAATTTATTTACATGTGCAGAAGAGCTAATGTACTTTGGAATATCATTTTCATATTAAGAGCAGAACATCTCAGACGTGATGATATACTTAGGGGAGAAGAGTTACTTTAGATCTTAGAATTGCCAAATAAAGATCTATACCACGAGTCAGTTAATCAGTACATAATTATTTTCACTTTGTACAGAAATATAGAGATTAGAGACATTTGATGTGTTAAAAGTCCCAATTTAAATGTGACTGACCTTATTCTTCATGCTTATTTTAAGTATTTTAACTGTTATCAATAAATATTAAAACCGTTTTTCTCCGTCAATTTGTATTTTCACCGTCCCGGCTATTGAGATTGTATGGGAAGAGTTGACTAATTGTACATGTATTTGTGTAAGCTATGCAAAAGAGTCAATGAACTGAGCACTAGAGTTTTTAATGCAACCTCTTCTGATCTTTCACAATTCTGTCTTTTCAACCTAAATCGCTAATTTACATTATTATTCACACTGAGAAAAAATATTAACATTTATTGTAGCCTTTAATTACCACCAAAAAATAAAATATCGTGTAAATGAAATGTATTTAGCAGTCGTTAACAAAAATATTTTCTAGCACGCCTGCAGATAAAGGCTAAGAGCTGGTTTATCTCGATCACAAAGAAAATAATATTAGCAAAGCGAGAAGCGAAGTCATATCAGTGAGCATATATTAATTGACAGTGAAATGGTAATTTATAATTTCAGAAAAAAATTGATTGCTTGACTGTAATTTGGCGTACAAAGTAATTGAATCAGAACTAATTAAGCCTTAACAAACGTTTATTGAGAATGGGTGTGCTAAGACCATTCCAAGGTTTTTGTATGTTTAGTGTCCGCGTGCGCCTTGAAATTGGTTTTTGACACCCCATGTCAGGAAAAAAAACAAACAAAATCAAGACTTCTGAGTCCTGAAATTGATTATTCAGGTCGATATCTTCGAATTCTGTCAATTTCTCTAAATACATGTATTTGTCTACAATATGTCATACTAGGTATAATTTAAGGAGGGATTCTTCTCATATTTCTAGTATCTAAAAATCAATGAAATTTTAACAGAATCAAGAAGACAATATCACTAAGTGATGGTATCAGTTATATTAAATTTGACCGTTTTATATTAGAGGCAAGGTCAGGTCAAGGTCATTATCTTTTCCCTGGATATTAAGAATGAAAAAATTACATTTGCCAATCATGCAATGCTTATTTCTATTTCAAAAGATTAAATGTTTTTCTTTTTGCATAGAGAGATATTACCATATAGGGTCTATAAAATGATATTACCAAAGTGACATAAATAATTTAACTAAAGTGGATATTGGCTAATCCGAATTTTCTCTATTTTTCTTAAATTTAGAGAATATTTTAGTTATATTTTTTTTATGCTTCCGATATTTATATTTTCTTATTTTCACATATGGTAAAGTTGTCACTAAAGATACAAAATGTTATAAAACAAAAAATGTTGATCGTTTAGTAAGAGAGAAAAAACACTTTTTACGGATGTTTGGCTCAAATCTGTACTCAGATTAGAAGCTTTTAAAAGTTTGTTTGGAAAATCATATTTATTTGATATATTTTAAAACTTTAGTCCCTTATTATTGATTTAACTTACATTTAAAAATTTCTTCAGGTTTTTGTATGGAAGGGAATTACCGCCAAAAGTCTGTATATCCTGCTTTTATTCTTATTCTGCCTACCTCTTTATTCTTTGTTATTATTGTAACTATGTGTCACTTTATTTTTTTCATATTCGTCTTTATTACATTTCACTTTGAACTTTTTTCATTCTTCATTTTGTCCTTACATCTATGTTGCCTTATTCTTGTAAATACGTTCTTCTTTCTTTCAAATTGATACAATTTCTTTAATAAATAATTATGATTATCTCTATTACAAATGTAAATGCAGTCACGCAAACCATGAAGCACATTCAACGAAGACAAATACAAGTAGTGTGAATTTAATGCGGCATTAAAACGGTAGGTGGCATGGTGTTCGCGGCGAGTGTTGGTAAAATTAGGTACGCAAACCCGGGCCGGAGTTATTCGAGATTTTTTTATTTTCTGCCTTAATACTTTATCAATCGAACCCGAATTTTCAAATGATGTATATTATAGGTTCAGGCATGTACCCGGTGTCGTTCCCCCTGACGACTGGCTAGATAGTAAGACTTCCCCTTGAGGACTTCTCCAGGGAAAGTCTCGCTATATAGTCAGTCTTCCCCCTTCATAACAAAATTTTCCCCTTTAATTTAGTTTACGAATATTTTTTTTTTATTGTAAAACAATGTTTATATACTAACGTTTTCAGTGTTTGGATGAAAGTTCTCCGTCCTATATGAATTAAATAAATAAATAAATATTAGGAATAAATAATTAAAACATTTTAATAGTGATTTTTATAATTAAAACATTAATTTAACCGTGCAGGTAAACATTGGTAAATTGCACGTTTCTACGGTTATGACCTCTTTACTGTTAAATTAACTGTCTAAATTTTCTTTTGATAAGAATCGTCTCGGAACAATTCAATAATCTGCTGTGCACGATAAATTTTTAATGCGCACTTTAATATTTATTGATTCATTTGAAAAAAATGCATCTTTTAATATATATATATATATATATATATATATATATATATATATATATATATATATATATATATATATATATATATATATATCATTAACTAAATATGCAATATATACATCGTCGATGTAAATAAAATCCAAACCAAACACGGAAGGAGAAGTCTCACTATGGTCGTTTAGGGCGGAAGGCTCACTATATACACTGTAGTCAATCCTGGAGGGGAAGTCTCACTATATAGCCAGACTTCCGGGGGAAGACTCACTATGGAGGATGTCTCACTATATGACACCGGTAGCGGGGGAGGGGGGGGGGGGGCTGGCCACCAAACAATTTTCTAGTCATAACTTTTTACTACTGAAATGGTTCAATGAAAGTCTGGTTCCCCTCCCCCTCCTCCCACTTTTTGTTCCAGTATAGTCAAATAAGGGTCATGTAATTAGTGATGTATGAGTAAAATTTGGTACTGAAAGAGGTTGGACCCATCCCCCCCCCCCCCCAATAGAATTTTCGAGTTTGAAGAATTTTCCTCTTTTTTGTTTTTTTTTTCCTTGTTTGTTGTTTTTTTCCTTATCAAGTTTTAGGTAAAACTTTTTTTTTCTCTGGCTGCCCATTTCAAAAACAATGCTACGTCTCTAAGTTTTATGTGTTTTCGCTGTAAAAATTGCCAATATTTATATTCATGTATTTATATTTTGAAAATCTCAATATTTTAGATTATTTTTTGCGATTTTTGATTTCCAATTTGCTAAGATGGGTAGGCAATATCAAGCCGACATTTTACGTATTTTTTCCAAACGAGATATTGACAAAATAATTTTTTGAGTTATTCTGATGTCAAACACCGTGTGCTTACTAGCGATATTTATTTCTTTATTGAAAAGTGGTATTTCTATACAAAAAATTAATACATATTTTCATAAAAACCGGGGAAGTTTCTAGTATGCCCCGGTCTAGCCTGGTTCCGGCCACGCCTACCCATGACGTTCCGCACTACTATGCAGAGCATTATGGGTTAGCCGAAACCAGACTAGCCCCGGTCCCCAGAATCACGCGACTTTGCATGAACAGTTATTATCAAGAAATAAAGAAATGTCAGTTCAATTTATAAAGGTATACTAGTAATTACCAAAATATTTAATGTTTTTTGTATCAATAAAATTGAAATTCAATTATCCGACAAATAACTTGAATAGAGTTATATTTTTTCAGATGACTGAAAATACACAATTATTTTGGAGTTTTCATCATTGATCCAGTTTTAGTGACCCAATATTTTCTTAAAACGTGTAATTTAAAGCAACAAAAGCACATTTGAAAGAAGAAATGCTTATAAATAGTTAAAATATAATGTTTAACATCAGAATAATTTATAAATTTATTAGCTATTTGTCAAAAAAACACGAAAAATGTCAGTTTGATACTGCCTTCCCATTTTATCAACTTGGAAATCAAATATCTTCGAGAAAATCTAAAAAAAAAATTGAGCATTTCGGGGCAATTTTACCGCGTATACAAATAAACCTTTAACTAACATAACTTGAAAATTTGGGTTCGATTGATAAAGTATTAAGACAGAAAATTAAAAAATCTCGAATAACCTCGGCCCGGGTTTCCGTACCTAATTTTACCAACACTCGCCGCGAACACCCTGCCACCTAGCGTTATAATGCCGCATTAAATTCACACTACTTGTATTTGTCTTCGTTGAATGTACAGCAAAAACAGCCTTGGTGTCCTCTCCTCAGATCTCGATAAACTTTCCAGTCCTAATACCAATGGGCTCGAAAACAACCTTCTCCCCAGGGGGAAGTTCACCCTTTTACGACACGACACATTGCATTTAGCAGGGAGGAAGGTATCAGGAGATACTACACCTCAGTAAGTTAAATTACTTCTCTTGCACAGGAAAAATGCTAGACAAGCCTTTCGCCAGATTATTTTCCAAACATTTCGATGTCTTACACAGGACGAAAGGAATAGATGGAAGTTCGAACTTGTCTGGAAATTTTTAATCTTTCTACGACAAAAGTTAGTTAATGAAATTGTGTGTTCATGCAGCCTTCATTGTCTTATTTAAATCCGTCCGACTATATAAGAAAACAATTATGGTTCTTTTTGTGGTGATTCACCTGGAAAAATGTCAATATTGACTTAGGCGAAGCCACTACAATACTATTTACGTAATGTTTCATATGATATATCTTATACACGTAATTGTTTGAATGTGACGAGTTTTATTTTTAGCTTTAAACATGCATTATTATATATCATGAAAATATTTGAAATATAATTGAAGATATTTTGAGGAATCGAAGAGCCCGAAACTGATTTTTTTAAAAGTTGTATGGTAATATTAAAGTAAAACATAACAATCATTCTGTCAGTGAGAGAATTGCGTTAGCATTACTAGTCCCCTACCTACAAGTGTAATCTGGTTCCCATTAAAAATTGAAAATGCCGTAATTCCGTAAAAAAAATCATTGAAGCGGAACATAATGCAAAATTGATCTATAACTCGTCAAGATAGACTCACTTACCAAAAATCAACCCAATGTCTGCAAGCATTTAGAAAAAAAGTAAAAAAAAAAAGAAGAAGAAGAAAGAAAACCTAGTGGGAAAGACTGACAGACGGAGGGACAGACATACAGGGGGCGGACAGAGAGACAGACGAGGAGGAA